TTAGCTATTTTTGAAAGTTCCGGTGAATGAGCAACTGCAGAGTGGGATTAGTCAGCATGCTCCCCCAGAGATGCTTGATGCAACCAAGAAGCAGCTAAGAATAGTTCTTGCAGACAATGATATCCTACTGGTCTATTCATAAACCCATTCATTATTCCTTCTTCTCCTAGAAAAAAGGCCAGAGCATTTCATTCATTCAAGGCCCTGATCTGTAATTATTCTTTCGTGCTACCAAACTATCCTGAAAAATCCCAAACTTAAGTTTGTTCTGAAGCTACAATGCACACATACCTTTTTAAAGAAACATCTCATTTAAGTCAATGCCTTTGTTAATTTTAACTGTTGCTCAAAATCAGGGATCAAAACGTTGCACCTATCATCAAGTGGCTTAGACAAAATATTTGCTGTACTCTTTGGGAATACAGGGCAGTCCACCAAATAAACAGGCTTTCATTATGTCCACAGTACCTTTGAAAGGAAAAAATATAAAAGGCCACAGCTGCTTTTCCAATAGGGTTTTAATGAAACGTTTTCCCAATCAAAAATCTGCCATCTATTTAGGAAATGCAGCTATATTCATTACGAAATAAAAGGCGCCCTCTAGTGATACATGTTTCTTTTCCAGGATTTTTTAGGGTTTTGCAAAACTATGACCTCTCAAAAATGTCCTATTTTTAACCTCCATGAATATTAACATTCTTCAACAGTTTAGAGAGATCCCAACAAAGGGAAAGTCTTGGAGACTGCCTGAAAATTCTTATTTTCTGAGAAATTTCAGCCTAATTGTAGTCACATCCAACTCCAAGAAAACGAACACCAACACCCTGTGGTTTTTTTTTTCAGAAGAACCAAGTGCTTTGGTGTCTCACACACATATACACACAACTGCTTTGCAAAGAACAAATAAATCCTCCCGATAAAATTACACTGAATTTGCAAAGTAGGCACTGATCCTGGCTCTCTCCACATCCATCCTTTTGTCTTGTTTCAAACTTGGAAGCCCTCTTCGTTTCCAGCTGATGCCGTCACCCCACTTCAGCTTTTTTTAAAAAAATCAATTTCATCCCCTCGCTTTGCTGCTTTTTGCACCTGATCGCAACCTAAAAAACCTTTGTGTGAAACAGCTGACTTGATTTTTGCATGGGGCCACCCCGTGACCAGCAGCATCCCAAAATGTGGTCACCCCGTTGTGACAATGATTGATAAGACATGAAAAGGTTGCGGCTGGGGCGTTTTTTTTTCAAGCATAGCTTGTATCCTCTTTCTCCAAAATCAACAACAGATGATTCTGGACTAGCTAGGAAAGGAAAGCAACCAAGCAGCCATGTCAACACCAGCAACTCATCCAAGAACTTCACAGAAAACATAACAAGATGGGGAAACTGGAGGATCATTCAGGCTGGCTCCCATGGCTTAATCCACTGCAATTTGGCATCCAGAACCAAGCCTGCTTGTAATCATTTCTCTGGCTCCTAATCCCATCTCCCTCACGTATTGTTACTACTTTCCAGAAAACTTGGCACTTAGGAAATCAATGCACATTTCCCAATCTTCCTAGGAGAACCTGTCACAGATGATGCTGGCCAACAGATGCATAAAAAGGTGGCATTTGATAATGATCGCAACAGCTGGAAAAGGATAGTGCTGAGTGGTAGAAAACTGACCGGGTTAAGTATTTCTGTTGGCAAAGCAACATCATCAATGGCCTGCATTTTTACGGTTCACACCCATAACATATGATTTGCTTTTTGGGTCGTGCAAAGATTCCAGAAAGAGACAAAATTTATTTGAATCTCTGCACTGAATGGTATCAAGTGATGTCAAATATTGAACCGTTGAATCAGATGCTTTGAAATTTAAAGTCAGTTTTGGTATCCATCCATATATTGCACCTTCTTGCAGAGATTTTGGTGTACATCTTGGCTTCTGGGTGCTTAGGATATAATTTATGTTTGTTTGATCCTGTGATTTTTGCCCTCCCTCTTACAAAATGAAAGTAAGATCTGGTGTTATGAACCCCGCCAAAATCAAAAGATAAATCTATATATTGCCATAATTCTCATAGTCTCTCTAGCTGCTTGGCCTCACTGACTGACGAAGGAACTTCTTATAATTCAAGAAACTTCTTTCAAGCCTGAATTCCACAAATAAGCGAATTATTTTCCCTTGAGCCAATATCAATGAAAATGAATCCTTTACAAAAAAAAACCACCAAGTAAGAAAAGAACTGAAGTGCATTTAACTGTTGAATGACATATGTGTCATAATAAAATACTAGGGAGATTGATAACTGCCAAGAAGCAACTCTTGATGAGTTACTATTTCTCTACTACAATTAAATTTCTATTGTTCATATCACTCCAACTACTGCTAACAGGAATCCCGAATACCTTTGCTTTTGGCTAACCTAGGATTAACATGCACATCTGCAGACTCCAACATTAGGTTATAAGTTACTACCATTTATGTTCCTCAGTGTAGGACGCTGATAAATTCTGCTGAAGATACTCCTTAAGGTAAGATCAAGAGATTCCACTGAGAAAGACACAGTGCGAAAAAGAACCTTATACAATCTTCATCTGTTGTTGCTCTGCAACCAAACGTGTTTATTTCTTTGCTCAAGAAACCCAACATTTCATTCAGACATGCATAAGAGAAACATGGCAATAAGGCAATACCAAAATGCAGCAAAAACACCCAGACTGAAAACAGTGCAAAAGTCTGTGGCTTTTTCTAGCCACAGATGTTAGGGTGCCTCTCAGTCATGACATGAGAATATGAGTAAGACTCTTCAGATCAACCCCATCATGCCCCGGGCATTAACCAACCACAAGCTGTGCCTCACCTCATTTGGCCTGATGGTGTCATTCTTTGGCAGTTCTCATGACTGTCTGTCAAAATATGGGACACTTCTTTGCTTGTTTAGCAGAGAAAGCCAAGGGGAGCAATTACACATGTGCCAGTCATATGGGATCATGTCCAACCATGGCTCTTCAAAACCACCTTTCCCATTTTTTTTCTTGGTGTGTCCTTTTCATCCCACAACATTGCCTAATCCTTGAATGATCCGAATCTCACTGAGCATCACCATCCCATCAGGAGTTCCTCCCCCTGGGCATTGCTGCTTCTTGGAATTCTCTCCTCTCCAATTTTTTGGGATTTCCCCCCCCCCCCAAAAAGTTTAGCTTTGTTCATTTCTTGTTTCCACTTAGAAGGGAAAGGAAAAGGAAAAGTTCTAATCAAACTAGACTTTGGGTCTTTCAGAGGTGCTCGCAAACATTACACAATATCACAGCAACTCAACCACCGTGGCCATAGGCTTCATGCGTTCAACACTGGAATAAAATCTCTCAGTCCATGACAATGTAAGATGACATCACATGCACATATTAAAAGTTTTCGAAGCATTGTAGCATTGCACATGCATAGAACATCACACTGGCTTGTTGAATTTTTTAAAAAAGTTTTTCCCCCCCTTTCATCTGTCACATTTCAAATAACAAAGGAAGGCACCAGATATATTTCTATGTCTTATCTCACAGCTGCTCTGCAGGGACAGTCAAAGAAGGAGTTGATATTTTGAGTTGAAAAGCACAATTATAAGGATATCAAAATTTGTGCATGTTCTCAAATAATGCATTGGTTGTTTGCTCTTATTTTTTTCTGAGAACAGTAGGAGGTCTTTCAAATTTGGCAAATTTGGATGTAATTGCAGAATTAGAAGCTGTATGTTGCGTAGAACCACATCACTTGTTTCTCAAGCTTGCCAATCTCATCTGGGACAGAAAGCATCTGATATATGAAGGAAACAATCTTTAACAGCTTTGTTTTGAAACCAGCACCAAGTTTACCCCATTTGTATTCTGCTTCCAAGAAACAGCCTGTCCACAACTGCAAAGGAGTTCTTATCACTTGCACCATTTCTAAATCAAAACAGAAGTGTATATATCAGTGATGGCGAACCTTTTAGAGACCAAGTGTCCAAACTGCAACCCAAACCCCACTTATGCATCGTTGGGTGCCGGGTGGGTGTGGCCCATTGGCTGGGCGTGGCTGTGGTGGTAACAGCAGACTGGGTGGGACTAAAAAGTTCAATCAATCAATTCCAACGTTGCAAGATCTTTTTTTCCCCGCGAGAAGTTGAAATTGACTGATTGATTGAACCTTTTTTTTTGTACACGGCGGCGGAGGCCTAAAGTGAAAAGGTTTTATAAAACCCAGCTGAAGGCCTAGGACTGGGGCGACGGCACGCGTGCCCACAGAGAGGGCTCCGAGTGCCGCCTCTGGCACCTGTGCCATAGGTTTGCCACCACCAGAAGATATTCTTAGTTAGACAATGTCCTTTCCTTTTTCCTCAGATCATTCTGCAAAAAATACCACATGGAGGATAGAAGAGCAGAAAGAGACCCCCTCCTTTCTAGAAAATTTTTTGGATTGCCAAACAGGTAAAGATGGAAACTAGGCAGCTGATCAAAGCCAGGTGGTGATGAACAAAAACCTGTGTTATTTTTAGCCATACCTCACAAATTCCATCTGGATGTCAGCAATTAGTTGATGTGCTTATTATAATGGCAAAATGTTGTCAGGTTCTAGATGATTAGGAGGTGAAGTGCTGTAGCAAGGAAGGGAATCAAGTTCTCCATTTCCTGGTCAATAAGATCTCTGCCTTCATGTTTAAAGATGGACGGAAAAAGAAGAAGAGGATGACCATCCCAAACCGGATGGACTCAATGACAGAGATGATGGGTTCGCCATTGGAAGACCTGAATGACCAGGCTAGGGACTGATCTTCATGGAGAAAACATGGTTGCTAGGAGTTAAAAACAACTTGATGACATCTAATCAATCAATAATCAATTAATCAACTTGTTTAAATCCATGTAACCCTTTCAGGGAGGGAAAGGATATCCCACTGCAATATAGCAGCCATGTCTTTGGGTGCTAAAGTTTGTATCAATGGGAACGTTCCCCATCTTAATCCATCTCTCACCACCAGCTCTTCAATATCCGTAGATTTCATTTTCTACCCAAGCTGATTCTTTGCTTTGCCCCACTCGGTCATTGCACAGTTCATATATGTCATTTGTGACAAATCCGCTCTCAGTGCTTGCCAAGGTCACAAAGCCACTCTCTGAGCTGTTGACCGCCGTATTGTCATAGTCTCCACAGAGGTCATCTCCTCCAAGACGGGCACGGAAGGAGGAGTTCTGGGTTTGTGGTCTCGTTCCAGCCAGATCGGCCTCCCCCTGTTTTTGAATTACATTATATACCTCTAAACTGGGGCTGTTTTGCATTTTGGTAGACAACCAAGTATCTTTCTCCTTCGTGTTCACCTCTCTCTGTTCCCGTCTCCTTGGCAGGGAAAGAAAGAAAGAAAAACACATTAACTTCCTTCTAATTTTCCCACTAGTTTTTTTTTCTACTTTCTAGCCTGGGTTAGTCATGAAGGAACGTAATGGTTTTGCTGGATGCTTGGGTGATCCAGACAGATAAGAAGGGGCAGCCCTTACTTTTCATTAGATTTTTTTATTAAAACATTTTTTTAAGAAGGGAGAACTGAGCTAGGAGACCACCAGGATAAATTGGCAGGGGTAAAGGAAGGATCGGAAGAGGTGAAAAGGTTGGAGATCCACAGAAGTAGAATGCGCTTCAGCAATATGGTCAATCCAATGTATTACTGTGAGATCAAAATGCATCCAAAGTTTAATAGTGGAGATGCCAGGAGACAAGGGTTTTAGTTTAAGAACAACTCAGATGTCACACCGGAAGACAGCCTGTCACGAGGAAAGCTTAAGATCCTCTTTTTTGTCTTAAGATCATCCTGCTCACGAGTGTCTCCATGCTGTGAATGGGTGGGGAGGCTAAATTTGCAAATCAGTCTGATGCAATCCCTCCCCTTCTCAACTCATGGAGAAAAGAGTGATTCTGGGGTAGGGAAAGACATTACTTTCAACTGGGTGTAAATTAAGGACAAGCTCTCTTGGGTCCAAAGAATGTGTGTGTTAGCCTTTCTACAAGATAGACCAGATCAAGAAACCAACGGCGTGTAGATCAGGACTACTTTGATTATAACAGCTGTAGTGGCAGGACCCTGCAAGCTTGAATGTGCATCCCTCCTCTTCGCTTTAAGTTTGTGTGAATTAGGGGCGGGGCTTGTTTTCTGGTGTTCTTTTCTTGGCTCAAGCCCCGCTTATCTAATTGTTGCCATGGAAGCAACTCTTCTTCCTATCTTTCAAGGCCTTTCCCTATATCCACAAAAGCAGGGGCAACTTTGTGACTTGTGGATTTCAACTCCCAGAATTCCTCAGCCAACCACTTAATGACTTGTAGATTTCAACTCTCAGAATTCCTCAGTGAGAAATTCTGGGAGTTGAAGTCCACAAGTCATAAAGTTGCCCAGGTTGGAGACGCCTGCTCTAAAGCATAGAGATCTAAATTCAAGGAACGAAATTCCTTGAGCAAAATGTGCTGGCTCATGGAGAGGCCTTCTCTATGCTTAGTTTGTAGACTCCTATTATTTCCTAAAAGATCTCAAAAATCTGTTTTTCTCTCAGGACAGGATGCTTTTCTTAACCAACGCCCATTCCAACAAGGAAAACATCTCAGCTGTGCACAGACAACAGTATCATCTCTATAACATTTCTTCTCCTCTCTCTTTCTTATCCCTCCTTGCTGGAAACCTGCTCAATCCACCCCGGATGCCCTCAAAAATGTTCTCAACTTAAATAATAATGCCACTTGCCTCTTTGCGTAAATCCAAAAGATAAAAACAGCAATGGTGATCAACAGAAGCAAGGCAGGAATGCTTGAAATTAAGATGTATAGAAGGCTCCAAGCAGGCTCTAGAGAGAAAAGGAATGAAGAGTTTTAATGTGTTATTGAGAACAAAGATTTATCACAGTAGAATTGTGGCTCCCCACCCTTTCATTTACAAGGTGTGGGGAGATAATTTGATTAGGGTATAAAGCAAAAGGAACAATGTATATTAATTCTCTTTGGATGTGGCGAAGACATTCTTTCTCCGAGAAATTTAGGGTATTGTTAAAACAGCTTTGGAGAAAGGAAATTGCAATTGCATTTTTAAAGTATTTTTTTTTACTAGAAGGTTTCACAAAGGTAAACATGAAATAATGTAAAGTAAGATTAAATAAAAGGAAAAGTGTGAATTCAGAAATTAAGAAACACGATTAAGAAATAGGAATAAGAAAAGACACACACACAAAAAAGGACTTCCAACAAACCTATCCTTTCTCCTTCCTCATTAAACTTAGGAGAAATTGCCATTCTTTACCTTTGGCCTCTGTGAGGGTTTTGTTAGCAACATTCTCTTGCATGGGGGTTTCCGGGGAGGTGAGTGCCAAAGACCCTTTTATATACCCTAGGAAAGAAATCTGAGTGTTATACGACTTAAGGATATTGCCTGAATACTATAAATAGGCCCTAAGATTGATGGAAGAGGATTTGGGACTAGAATAGGATCCACCTTTGGCTGAAGGATCCACATTCTGGTCAGCCAGTTCGAAAAGGATCAGTTAGCATCAAACATTTCAAAAAGCAGTCGAGAGTCAGGGGTTCAAAAGAGCAAGCTTTACTTATTATTTAACGCAGCGTTTCTCAACCTTGCAGACTTTATGATGTGTGGACTTCAGCTCCCGGAATTCCCCCAGCCAGCATGCATACTGGCTGGGGGAATTCTGGGAGTTGAAGTCCACACTTCTTAAAGTTTACGAAGTGGGGGAAACACTGATTTAATGGATACCCGTGTCTTTCCTTGGGGAGTGGAAGAAACTCCAGAGACGGGAAAAATCTCTCTTTCTTTTCCCATAAACCACAACTACAACCCTGTGGGGAAGGTTGGCTGAAATGCAGAGATCTTCGGAAGTCACCAGACGGCTCCTAGGCTCTATGGTTAAACGTGGACTCAAATCTAGTCTCCCTAATATACCACATTGTCTCTCTCTCTCTACTATAATGATTTCTTTGGCTTTTTTTTTTTTGCCTTGTTTGGGACAACTGTTATTTGTGCTAGGTTTGGCTTTTTTCCCAGCAAAAGTCTCAACTTCCCCCTCCTTTCCCGAACACCAAATGTTACCTGTCTGAGAAGGAGCCAATTCAGAGACAACTGTTGGCTTTTCTGCAAGGGGAAGAAAAAACAAGAATAAAAAGCGTGTGCATGCTGAAAGCCAAACCCCAAATCCTACATTTGATTACAGGAATTCAACGCCAGCAGGCGAGAAGCAAACAGTCTGTATACTGACCGGAAAAAGAGAAAAACAACTAGGTTTTCAGAATTCAGATATCAACGTAAAGGTCTGATCTCAAACAGAATTTTTGCAACCAGAATTTTCGTGGCAAACCAAGACGATTGTTAAATGAGTTGCACCTGATTTTATGACCTTTTTTGGCGTGGTTGTTAAGGGCATCATTGCAGTTGTCTATGGAGATTCTCAGTCATCCAAGTCATAGTTATCCCAAAGGTGCTTTTTCAGGAGGCAACTGGACTTTCTTGGGTTTTTTTGTGAAGACATTTCGCTTCTCATCCAAGAAGCTTCTTCAGCTCTGACTGGATGGTGTGGAATGGAAGGATTTATATTCAATGCAAATGACTGGCTGTCTGCAAGGAGTATAAATCCTCCCGTTCCCCACCATCCAGTCAGAGCTGAAGAAGCTTCTTGGATGAGAAGCGAAACGTCTTCAAAGAAAAACAAGAAAGTCCAGTTGCCTCCTGAAAAAGCACCTTTGGGATATCACTGCAGTTGTTAAGTCAGGAACCCGGTTGTGAAGTGAATCGGGCTTCCCCATTGACTTTGCTTGTCAGAAGGTCGCAAAAGGGGATCACGTGACCCTGGGACATTGCAACCGTCATAAATATGAGCCAGTGGCCAAGCGTCTGAATGTGGATCACGTGACCACGGGGAGGCCGCAACGGCCGTATGTGTGAAAAACGGTCGTAAGTCACTTTTTTGAGTGCCGTTGTCACTTTGAATGGTCAGTAAACAAAGGATTGTAAATCAAAGATTGGTTGTGTTGTCACGAAAGCAAGGAAGACCGTCGTGAGCGTCCCTGAATATAAATGACATCCCCTGACCTTGTGAATATTTACAAATAAAGTTGTTTCTCATGTTGCATCTGTCATCGTTCCACTGGAACAGGTAACGTCCCCCGTCGCCAGCAGGTGCCGAGGGCTGGTGATACATCACCACGCACCCCTCGCTTCCGCAGGACGGTTCATCCACGTACCAGTTTCTGTAGGAAGGACAGGAAAGTCATGAGACGGAGCTGCAGCTGCTTGCTAAATTCTTAAGGGGAGCTTCCTCCTGGCTTACCGAAAGGTGGACCAGCTCCCATCAGTCCAGGTGTATAAATAGGGACACAGGGTGCTGTTCTCAGGATCGTCTTCTTCTCTCCTGAGCCCGATCCAAAAATCGCCATCGGATGCTGAGTAACTCTGGATCATTTTCTCAATCAACTCCTGCTCTGACTGGGATTCGATGCTCACCAAGTCTCCGCCGTCGCTTCGGCAGGTCTGAAGGGCTTCATGGAAGCCAACCCTGCGTGTGGCTTCATGAAAATAAACAATTTTGTAGCAAGGGCGTTGCGTTCCTCTCCGGCAGATGGTCTGACCTGTGGGGCAGAAGCAATCTCAGTAACAGGGAGGAGACCTGGGGTCTACAGCCTTGGCAACTTTGGGACTTGTGGACTTCAACTCCCAGAATTCCCCAGCCAGCATGGGTCTCCAAACTTGGCAACTGGAGATCCCAGCCAGCAGGGGTCTGCAGCCTTGGCAACTTTGGGACTTGTGGACTTCAACTCCCAGAATTGAAGTCCACGCCTTTTAACGTTGCCTGGAGCAGACAGAGAAAGAGGTCTTGACTTCTACAACTGCACGATGTAGAATTTTTATCAGCACCAGAAAAGGAACAACAACACTCTGAACTGCGTCTTTTTTTCTTGTTGCTGAATACGATGGAAAGAAACCGGTGGCCCGTGTTATTCTTTATTACTTTTGCAGTGGGATAAAAAATGTTTATTTCAAATCTGAACTGAGACCCAAGCCAAGATCCTCAGATTTACTTGCAGAAATCCTCAATCGGCTTGATTTATTCCCGTGATTTATACGGCCACCCATTTTACAGCAGTGACTGGGCAGCATGCAAAGTGAAGCCCAACAAATTAGAACAATCCCAATAATAAATAAATGCCTGATGTCGGGAAGATCCGATTGGAAACTTAAAATGAGAACATAAATCATCAGAGTTTGCTTTTCATGAGATGTCCTTAAGTGGCTGGATCTTCCCAGTGTCCTTTGCATAGTTGCCAAGACCCTGCCTGCTCCATTGCTCAATCTCCTTTGGACAGACATGGCTAAAACAGAAATAAAATGACTATTTGGGACTCTATTCGCCCATTGAGGGTGGGTGGATGTACTCTGAGCATTTTAGGCAGAAGAATGTAAACAAGAGTTAAGTTAACCCCTAAATCATTCTCAGCAACATCGGCTATAGAATAGAATAGAACTTTAAAGATAAAAGAGAAAGAAGACTCAGTGTACTTTAGAACATGGGATAATTTCTATCAATGGCTAGAAAAACGAGTTAGAGAGAAAGGAATGTGATATGTAATTTTGAATATATATTAGCAAGAAGAAGGCTATTGAGTGATTAATTAACATGTTTATAAATAACTATTATCTATTATTGTTTAACACATGAACCCAGACATTATGCTAAATATTAAGAATGTTATTTGGAAAAACCCCAACCCTAACCCTAACCCTAATCCTAACCCTAACCCTAACCCAAATCCCAACCCCAACCCCAACCCCATCTTATTCCTAACTCTATAAAAACTAATAAAATCTATACCAAAAAAAGAGAATAGAATAGAATAGATTAGGATAGGACAGGAGTAGAATAGTAGAATAGAATGGAATGGAATAGAGGTAGAGTAGAATAGAATAGAGGTAGATTAGAGTAGACGTAGAATAGAATAGTAGAACAGAAGTAGATTAAAGTAGAAGTAGATGTAGAACAGAATAGAACAGAATAGAATTCTTTATTGGCCAAGTATGATTGGACACATAAGGAATTTGTCTCTGGTGCATAAGCTCTCAGTGTACATACAAGCAATAAGTGATAAATCATGATCATAGTCATCATAAAAATACATTCATAAGAGAGAGCTCCTTTGGAGTTTGCAACCCCTTGCCAAATCATTTGAGTTTTATCAGCAAAATGTAAAGTTATTTTTAGGCAAGACAGAAAGTGAGGCAATGATTGCAGGATGGCCACTGCGATACACCCACTGTCCATTCTGTGGTCTCAGTAGGCCATGTTCTGGAGATCATTCTGGGAAAGTAGATTTATTTCACGAGCAAACTCTTTATGATGTCACACACCAAATACTCCCAGGCCCTTCAGATATATTGGACTACCTTTCCCCTAATTTCCAACCAGCATGGCCAGGGCTGGGGATTGTGGGAAGTGAGATACAAGCCATCCAGAGTCCACCATACTGGAGAAGGCTGAGCTTTGAGGAACAGAATAGCAAAAACATACTAAATATAATAAGTAATCGTAGCAGAACATTGACCAGTTAACCTTAAACTGACCTCCCACCTCCCCTTATTTTTTTGGTGGTTTCACAACAGATGCACAGCCAGTTTGTAAAGGAAATTCTGTCCTGATAAACACAACCGTGTGAAGGTTTTCCCAGACCACGTTTGTTGGTTTGTTTATTTATTTATTGCATTCAAACAGCTGCCTTGGAGGATGCCCCAGATGCAAATGATAGACAGAGCCCCACTAAGCTTGTTCTGTGGGTCAGCCTCCTTCTTGGATGCCCTCAGCCACACAGCTCAGCTGTGGTCCTTTTTTAGTCCTTCCAAAGCTCTGGCCGCAGCCCTCCACCCTCTTCACAAATACTCAGGGGCTCTACCTGCAGTCCAGAAGGTTTGCAACCTGCCACTGTGCCAATTTATTCCTGGATCATTGCAAGCCTTAAAGCCGGGAGGTGCCAACTTAAGAGAGGGTCTGTGGACAACTGGGCCTCTGCTGCCCCCTCCCTCCCTCCCCCCCAGCCCAGAAGAGATCACAGAGGATGAGGTCGAAGCAGCCCCAAAAGGGATCCCTGGTCCCAGACCGAGCCCGGGGCTGGAAGGAGTGCCCACTGCGGCTCTAGCTCCAATGCCCGGGCTGCACCCCGCTTCTCCCCAAGTCGTTTAGGGAGTTCCCGGGGGGCTTCTGCCTGGCGCGCAGCGACGCCCCCAATTTGGCCGCCCCCAAACCCCTGATGGGCCCGAGGGGAGACTGGAGGGCACCCCCGGGCTCAGGGACAGACGCCGGCAGCCGAGTGATACGCCCCCCCCGACCCCGGACTTGGAAACGCGCCGATCGCCCAACTACCGTGCCGACTCTGCCCACGCCTTTAAAGGACCTGCGGGGTGGCGTCCGGCCCGGACGCAGCTTTGGCAGGTAAAGTGGGGGAGTCCTTCCCCTCCCCCCTTCTGGCTGTTCCCCCTCCCCAGCCCACCTTCCCGTCCTTGCCCGGCCGCCTTTCCACGCGGGAGCGCCCGAAGACCCCACTCGCTGATCCACGAATCGGATGGGGACGTTTGTCCGGTGGGTGTGGGACGATGTGGGGGAGGCAACGGCTGGGAGAGCAGATGAACCCCTCCGCCACCCCTCTGCCCCCCCCCTTTCCCGGGGGTCAGCCTCCCGCTTAGCAGCCCCCCCCCCGCCCGCAGTCCGGCATTTCCACGCGCGGTCGTGTAAGTCGGGGCGCGATCCTAGAGTCGCGCGGATTCCCGGGACTTTTGCAAAGTTCCTCCGCGCAGCCGGTCCCGCCTGCCCCTCGCCCTCCCTGCCCCGTCCGGCCTCTGCCCGGCCGCCCGAGGGCGGACTCACCGCCGGCCAGCCGCGACCCCCGGGCGCCCCCCGAGTGGCAGAGCGCGCCCAGGCGCAGCAGCAGCAGCGGGAACCGCCAGAGGCCGCCGCCCGCTGCCCCGTCGCAGTCCGGGAGCCACATGGCCGCGGCCGCCGGAGCCAGTGCAGCCGCCGGGAGCCCAGCAGCGTCTGGCCCGGACTAGAGAGCGAGGCGAGGCGAGGCGGCTCCGCCTCCGGGCCGGGGGCCAGCCGGGAGGGGAGGGCGGGAGAGCGGGGGGAGGCCGCTGGAGGGGCTCCCGAGGGCCGAGGGCGGGCGGAGTGGCGCTCACGCGTTGCCCCCGCAGCGCCAACGAGCGCAACTAAGGATGCATTCAGACGACTCGCGGGGCGCCGTCCCTTGCAAGTGGCCAAGGAGGGTGCCAACCGTCTGATGCCAACCGGGTTACTGTAGTTTGGTCTGTGGTCAAAAAGGCTTCCCCAAAGCGGGAGGCGTGAAGGAAGCCAGCCAGACTCGGCCGGTTTCTGTGACCCTGGTTGGTTCCCTTCCTTGCTGAACTCGCCTTGGACCCGGGATCACCAACGAGTTCGGCGGCACTCTGTAAGTCCCGTTTGCAGAAATAAAACTCAGTCCAAGTTAACTCAGTTGGGCAGTTGTTTAGCTGAGAAAACCGGCTGGGGGAGCTGCAATGGGGGAAGCGGGGAGTCAAAAGCCACCCCCGATGCCTCTGGGCACCAACCACCTTTTGGTTGCCAAGTGAACGGAACACAGTTGGGAGCCAGGGCTGAACTAACCTGGGCCAAAGAGGGGCTGGTAGATGATTGGGCAAAGAATCCACTCCCAAAGAGTGTGTGAACTGGCTCTTTTCATCTACCACCCCAGCAGAGAGTTGTGCAGATGTGTGTTTGAGTGTGTGCATGTTTTATATACAACAAAGCCATGTACAATCTGTTTAGTGCTGTTGGCACAAGACACCCATTAATGCTAAGTAACTGGTGTAACTAAATCATGGTTCATTGTCTTGTCTGAATCCAGAAAACCTGGTTCAAGAAAAAACACCATCCCAGCAACCTTACTTAGCATACCTTGATGCAACCTTACAGCCGCTGTGTGCTACATGCGCACCTAATTGTGTTGCACGTCTGTATCTTTTTAAGAGCTCCTGGAACAAACGGAGACCTTGGGCCAGATCCTGCTCGGAAAAACGGAGGGAAATTGCACGGAGGAAAGCTCCCACTGCAGGACCGGCTTCTGCCCAGATGCTGACGGGGCATTTTGCCTGCTGGTTTCCTGAGCGCTGGGAAGCTGGACCGCCGGGCTGAGCTTCCGGGATTCCGGGCCAACTTTCCACTCATCCTGGTTTGGAAACAGCTTCCAGATGCCCAGTCGGGGTGAGGAAGGAAAGGAGTCCAGCTGCAAGCGTGCTATTGTGGCTTTGGAGCAGCCCAACGCATGGGGGGGTCCCCCTCCCAAGGCCCCCGTGTGTGCATATGTGTGTTTGTGCATATATATAAAACATAGGACACAGAATAATAAGGTTGAAAGGGACCTCAGTAACAACCCTTTTCAATTTGGTACCCTCTGGAGTGGATTACAATATCCCAGCCACTGGGTGATGGGAGTTGTAGTCCACGACCCCTAGAATTATTGCAGTGGCAATGCTAAAGGATGAAAATAAGCATTTTTTCCAACAAGCTTTTAAAGTGAAAGTGCCCAGCTCAATTCTGACCTGTTGCTCTAACATCTGAGAGTTTTTTTGGAGATGGTGAAATTCATAAACAGAAGCCCAGCCATGCCCAGTTCCTTCTCCAGAGGCCAGGACCAGGCTGATTCTTGCACTTAACACTTATTTTATGCTTTGTAAACCTTTATTCAACAAAATGCATGATCTGAATCTGCCTACCAGGCTTGGGCATCACACGTGCAGCAGCTTTGCACGTAAGTGTCTTTGTAATGTTGTGTGAACGCATCCATCGTGGCTTGCATTCCAGTGCATTGCATGGAGCCAGGCAATTAGGATAAGTAAGTAAGTAAGTAAGTAAGTAAGTAAGTAAGTAAGTAAGTGGTTTGACAAACAACGGCTTAGAACAATGCATGAACCCAGCCGAGTCAAAAGCACCCGGACTAAACTGTTATCCTGCACTGACAAAATTCTGGCTGTGGCGTTGTGATCTTGTGATGCTGCAGAGGAAGCTCATCTCTCTATTAACCGTGGAGGAATTTCTTGGAAGGCTGGACTTGAACGATGCCAGCTCCTATTCAAACTTTGCCTGCCGTTCCTTGGAAGCCGCATCAGCAATTTCCTAAGTGGGTTTCTGATTTATGAAGTGGGGGTTATCTGTGAGCGCATGTGCACACTCACCCATGCGGAGTCATTCCTTCCCCAACCACACACAAATCTGCCTCCAGTTCATGCTGACCAGCAGAAACAGGTCTTCAGGTTACGCCCACTGTCAGGAAAAGAGGAGGGAGGGGAGCCATAGAGGGGTGACTGTATTGGATCAAACCTGCTAATAAAAATGTTACAGCCCTCTTATTAGGAACAGTTGCTGGAACTGGGAATGTCTACTCTAATGAAGAGAAGGACGAGGGGGGACATGAGAGCAGTCTTCCAATATCTCAGGGGCTGCCACAAAGAAGAGTCAAGCTATTCTCCAAAGCTCCTGAAGGCAGGACAAAAAGCAACGGGTGGAAACTAACCAAAGAGAGAGGCAACCTAGAACTAAGGAGAAACTTCCTGACAGTTAGAACAATTAACCAGTGGAACAACCTGCCTCCAGAAGCGGTGAATGTGCCAACACTGGAAGTTTTTAAGAAGAGACTGGACAGCCGTTTGTCCGAAATGGTATAGGGTTTCCTGCCTGAGCAGGGGGTTGGACTAGATGACCTCCAAGGCCCTTCCAACTTTATTGTTATTATTAATGCTATTTCGCAAGAGATTTCAGTGGGTCTTCAGAATCAGAGAGAAAAACATATACAGCTGGTCCTCGGTTTATGACCACAATTGTAGCCCAAAATTTCTGTTGCTGAGCGAGGCCTTTGTTAACTGAATTTTCCCTCCCCCATTTTACGACCTTTCACGTAACAGTTTTTAACTGATTCACTGTGGTTGTGACTTGTTACGCTAGTAACAGGGCTGTTAAGTGCATCCAGCTTCCCCATTGACTTTGCTTGTCAGAAGGTCAGCATCTATTGGCCATCCCAGGATAATCCATCACCAGCTAGAAACTCCTGGCTTGCGGACCAGGCATTTGGTTAACCGAGAGCTCTGAACTTGGGTTGAACACCCCAGTCAAAACAAACCAAATGACAGGAGCAATTCCTTTTATTGACACACTGAGGGCTGAGTGGGGTTTTCGGCCCCTGTCGTGCTCCCTCCCCACAACTCTGAAGTGCCAAAAAACTCTTAAGGCCAACTTTGGAAAGTTGGAAGAGGAGGAGGAAAAAAACAAAACCCCTTTTCTGGCAACCGATGGCACCATTTCCTGCATGCCGAGGACAAGGGAAGGGATTCAGCCCCGGCACATTTATGTCAAAAGGCCAGAAGGGAACCGGGAGGCAAAAGCAGAAAACACAGGCAGAAACTCACTGGGCAATCTTGGGAATTTGTAAAGAGCCAGTTGTTTTAGCACGCTGTGCAAGCCGAGCTCCGCTTACTCAGAATAAATAGAGAGAAACAGGGCTTATTTGGCAAAACCTGACATGCTGTGTACTAAGATGAAAACCAGCTTTTCTCAGCCTGGGGCCTGCCAGGGATTGGGAGTTCTTGAATTCCTCCTGCTGGCTGGGAATCCTGGAAATTCAAGTCCCAAGAAGGGTCAAAAAGAGAAAATGAATACATAATATAAATGAACACAACTGCTAGAAACGGTGATAGAAACGTCACCATTAAGAGCAAAACCGTTCACATCTCAGCTTGCAGGTTGCTGGGTCAAAACTTGTTTAGCGCATTGAATATCCCTTCTTGCACAGGAGTAAGTCCCACGGGGCAGTGGGGGCCAGAAAGGTCATCCCAGTCCTGCAGAGAGCTAGCCTGTCAAACATGCAGAGAAGTCGAAGGGGAGGGGGTGGGGCCGGACTACATCAACAATGAGCCACAACTAATGTCAGACACCAAGGACAGGCTGGTTGAAAGCACAAACAGGCCTTTCAATTCTCCGTTGGCGACCCTGATCAAAATCCTCAAGGTAATGCCTTTACACTGCCTTCATCCTCAGACAGTTCTTCCTTCTCCTTTTTGGAACTAAAGAAAAGGAATTAAGAACACACGGAAGGCATTAGGACCGCTTCCCATCTCCTCCTCCCCAACACCAACATGAAAATCTCCAATCTCAAAGCATCTTGCAGCTTGGAAAACTGGGAGTCCCCGGTGCTCTCTGAGCTTGGTTGTTTTCTTGAAGACGTTTCCTGACCCAACTAGGTAACATCATCAGTGTTAGATGAGAGTAGAGTTTGCTCTTATTTTTATACACTAGTGCAATGATGGCAAACCTTTTAGAGACCGAGTGCCCCCAAACTGGCCCTGCCCCCGCTCCACCTCCCTGCCCCGCCCCCGCTCTGCCCCCCCATCCCCTGCCCCGCCTGCCCACAGGACCACTCCAGGGCCCACCGCAGATCGCCCAGGCAGCCCAGCAGCGCTATGGCGGCCACACCCTCTGCCTGTGCCCTGCAGCATCAGCTGTGCACAATGGGGTGTGAGGGCAGAGTCTTGTCTACGCTGCCTGGCTGCCATGTCCTTAGCTGCGCTGCTCCGTGTGGGCCATGCTTGGGGGCAACTCTCCTTCAGGGGGGCTGCTGGAGAGGAGGGGGTCATGGGGGGAGGCAAGGCTGGGGCAATTGCACATGTGCCCACAGACAGGGCTCCGAGTGCCACCTCTGGCATCGTGCCATAGGTTCGCCACCACTGCACTAGTGCAGTGATGGCGAACCTTTTAGAGACTGAGTGCCCAAAAACTGGCCCCGCCCCCGCTCCACCCCCTGCCCCGCCCCCCACCCCGCCTGCCTGCAGGGCCACTCACCACCTCCAGGGCCCACCGCAGATTGCCCAGGCAGCCCTGCAGCGCCATGGCGGCCACGCCCTCTGCCTGCGCCCTGCAGCATCAACTGTGCGCGATGGGGCGTGAGGGCAGAGTCTTGTCTATGCTGCCTGGCTGCCATGTCCTTGGCTGCGCTTCTCCGTGTGGGCCACGCTCGGGGGCCACTCTACTCCAGGAAGGCTGCTGGTGAGGAGGGGGTTGCGGGGGGAGGCAAGGCTGGGACAACGACACATGTGCCCACAGAGAGGTTCGACACCACTGCACTAGTGGCTTGCCCTGTCAGTATAGGTGGGAATGTTCTTGGTGGTTCCTTGATTTACTGTTTGATTGTTTGTCTGGGTTGGTAATTTCTTGACTGGGCTATTGTTTGCTGCTTGAGTGCTGGTCTAGTTAATCTTGGTATGCTCTGCTTATTAGGGGGTTGAATACTCCCAAGGCAAGCTACTGTATATAAACAGAAAGTAAATCCACTCCCTTCTAGCACTGTTGATGTTACCCAGTTGGGTCATGAAACATCTGCAAGAAAACAACCAAGCTCAGAGAGTACCGAGGACCCCACACTTTAACCCCAAGCTACAAATATTCTCTTCTATCAGTAGCTTTGAAAAGTTCAAAACCTGCTTTTTTTTTTAAAGGCCCTGATGGCCTAGAACGGGTAGGCAACCTTGCCTCTTTTTGACTCGTGGACTTCAACTCCCAGAATTCCTGAGCCAGCCATGCTGAGGGGAAAGGGAGAGGTTTCCAAGCTGAGCCATGCTGGCTCAGGAATTCTGGGAGTTGGTCCACGAGTCATAAAAGAGCCAAGGTTGCCTAGCCCTGGCCTAGAAGATGAACTGATTAGAGGGTTAGGGGTACAACCCCCCCTCCTTGTTTAGGGAACCATACCCATCCGAAATGCAGCCGGTTTTAAGACACAGAAGTACAGCTTTTTTTTATCCTGCTAGTTTGACACCAAGGACCAGGGAAAAGGGGTTTTTTATAGAGTGAGATTCTTTCATGTAGTAAGTAGAATTACTTTTTTACTCTGTAAAATACTCTGGCATTTTTTAACCCCCACCCCCCAGGTCTTTACAGGATTTCTTGGTTTAACAGGAATCGATTGGAAAACCCGGCAGGGTGGGTGGAACTCGCTGGCTCTTGAGATGTGATCTGTCAGCTGGCAAATCATGCCTAAGCAAGTGATTTCAACAAGACTCACTTACTTATTTGTGGGTCTAACTGACTGAATAGATCAGGGTTGTCACCAGGAAAATAATTGGAGTCCAGAGAAATGCCCAGGTTTGAATAAGGACCTTAACTACTGTAAAATGGGTCTTAAATGGCATTTTCCCATGTCATCCTTGAGAAAAATGCCAGCCATTAACAAATTAAAGGCAGAAACTGCTGAGAGGAGAAGTATAAGGGGCCAAATCAGCTTTTTCAGAGAGGTCATTTTAAAAGTGAAAAGGCAAAGTCTCCTTTGAACCTTTGGAGAATATATGGAGAGCCCAGGTTGATTTCTTGGCAAAAAACCTGGACAAATTGGCTCATCTTGAATTCCAGGAATTCTTTAACACGTGGTTCTTTCTCTCGTTTGCATGAAATAACTCCAAAACAGACAGGAGATTTACCTCTCATCTTCCTGGTCCCTAAAATAAGAAAGAGATCAACAGAAAAGGGAAAAAGTTATACCCTTCAAAATCATGAAAGCATTTATTTACAATAAGGATCACCAAAAACTAAGACAGGTAGGAGGAGAAACTTGTCTTGTTTATATTACCTTTGTGGCGCTCTGCTTTTTGGCTTATGTGGATAAGATAAGGACTCTTTCTAAGAAAGAAAAAAGGTAGCTGTTGAAAACTTCACCCATTTTAAACTGTTCTTTTGCAGAGTGGGAGGGAACAGTGCAAAATTTATGGGTGTTCTTTGGGGTCCTTGACGCAAACCACACTCCCTTCTAGCACTGATGATGTTACCTAGTTGGGTAATGAAACATCTTCCAGAAAACCACAGAGGTCAGAGAGCACCAAGTACCCCACAGTTCAGCCCTGAGCTACTAATATTCTGTCATAGGTGTTCCCGTGGATTTGAATTTTGCAATAGGATTAACAGTTTTGAATACATGATACCATTAACTGGTTAGAAAACAAGAACACGTGAAGGAAAGCATTCAGAAAAATGCTGGAGAATTGTTCTATGAACTAAAATAAATAAAGAAAAATCAGAAAGGCAGAGAGAAACCCGATGAAACAGATTCAAAACTGGAAGAATGAGAAATGGGACGAAATGGTCCTTGACAGGTTCAAGTCAATTGAGCTAAATATGTACTACTACTACTACTACTACTACTACTACTACTACTACTACTAGTAGTAGTAGTAGTAGTAGTAGTAGTAGCAGCAGTAGCAGTAGCAGTAGTAAAGTTGGAAGAGACCTTGGAGATCATCTAGTCCAACCCCCTGCTCAGGGAGGAAACCCTATACCATTTCGGACAAATGGCTGTCCAGTCTCTTCTTAAAAACTTCCAATGTTGGAGCATTCACCGCTTCTGGAGGCAGGTTGTTCCACTGGTTAATTATTCTAACTGTCAGGAAGTTTCTCCTTAGTTCTAGGTTGCTTCTCTCCTTGATCAGTTTCCACCTGTTGCTTCTTGTCCTGCCTTCAGGCGCCTTGGAGAATAGCTTGACTCCCTCTTCTTTGGGGCAGCCCCTGAGATACTGGAATGCTGCTATCATGTCCCCCCTCGTCCTTCTCTTCGTTAAACTAGACATACCCAATTCCAGCAACCGTTCTTTATGTGTTTTAGCCTCCAGTCCCCTGATCATCTTTGTGATCATCTTTGCTCCATGTAATCAAAGCAGCTTCTCCCCACCAATCATCCCCTTTAAATAACTCTATCCAGCCCTCTGTTTCCGCAAAGCTCTCTGAGGAGCAGAACCATCTAAACTCATGCGAGGCTTTGGCATCCTTTCCAGAAGTCTGAATTACAGCAGGGGTACTAAACCAGCCAAATTCAATAGCATTCCTGGCTCGTTCCTTGTTCTGTGTTGCATGCTGCGGCTGGCAGTAGGGAAACGAGAAAGGAAAGCTAAGCAAGGGAACAATGCTTGGTCTTCAAGAGAGGGAGATTCGGGAAATCTAAAAAGCCATCTTACCGATATCCTCTCTTCCCTTTGCTTTTTCAGTAATGCAATGATGTCTTCTCTTTTTTTGGCCTGGGAAGAAAGATGTTTGCAATGATGAGAAGGAGGGAAGTGGAATGGGTTAATTCCTGAGACTCAGTATTTCCCAACCTTGGCTGCCTGAAGAGGTGTGGTGGCTAGCTGGGGAATTCTGGGATTTGAAGTCCACACATCTTCAGGTGGCCAAGGCTGAGAGGCATAGTTGAGATCTTGTATCCCAGTATAACCAGTGCGTGGGGTTTACCCCATCAGACTCCAAAGAGGATCCATGTCCTTCGAAGGTGAATAATCTCCTGTAGATTGTGACTTTATCAGACGGTTATAAAGGCTCCAGGATAATGATCTGGATTCGTATTAAACTCAATTTAGGAGAGATGACATCTGCACAAGCTGATTAGGGTTTGGGTCCTAGGAAAGAGGGACAGGTTTAGGAATAAGGTGGGGTGACCAGCACAAACGCCCAGGGCTGCAAGCTAGTAATCTTTATTTTTAAACTGATGATGAAACCAATCATCTTGCACTCATTTCTTTGAGCAGAATTATTTAAGAGAATCACAGCAGAGTTTGGGGAGTAGACCCACTTCTCCTGATAATCCCATTTCTCTGTGCCAGGTCTAATGGACGCCCCTGGATCAAATCCATTAGGGGGTTATTAATCGCCACGAATATGAATGCTGGTTTGCTGGCAGCAACTGCAAAGCTCAGCACATTTCAGCTTCTCCCAGGGACTGACTGCCTCTGGCTCAGTTCCCATGCTTACTCTGCAAAGCTTTTCCTTTTTTAACAAGAGAATGGGGGGGGGGGGAGAATCCTTTAAGATTGTATTAATGTAGCTCTTAACTTTCGCAGACTGCTGTAACACAATGTGGATTAGCCGGCGAACCACACTATTTATTCCTATTGATCAGCTTAATGATTTATTTACGCAGCAGTGAGCCAACGGGCCAAAGAAGTTGGGTTCCATACTGGACTTCAGTAGTTAATTAACAAAGAGCAAATGCGTTTCTCCGTGAGGGTCCACAGACCGGGGTTGATTTCCCGTTATGTCTGCAGCATCCTTTATGAAGGATGCGGGTCCAGCAAGTCTAGAAATGACACAACGGCTGTTTCTGGGAAAGACACTAACCTTGATTCCTCACATTCCTTGGGGGCCTATTTGGAATCACCATTGAAGGAAAGAGAAACCAGAAACAGAGAGTCCTCGAGTTACGACGACAATTGGGACAGAATTTCTGTTGCTAAGCAAGGGGGTGGCAAAGTGTGTTTTGCCCCATTTTACAACCTCTCTTGCCATCGTTGTTAAGTGAGACATTTGTTAGGCGAGTCACACCTGATTTTATGGTGGGGTTTTTTTGCCACCGTTGTTAAGCTAATCACACAGTTGTTAAGTGGATCTGGCTCCCTGGTTGATTTTGCTTGTCAGAAGGTCGCAAAAGGGGATCACGTGATCCCGGGACACTGGATCTGTCATTAATACATGCCAGCAGGCAGGTGCTTTGCAATACAGGTAATTCTCGACTCACATTTAGTTCATTTAATGACCGTTTAAACTTACAACATCGTTATCAAGAGAAAAAGAGAGGAAGTATTAAATGTTGAAATAAGAGAAATTTTAGTTATTAAATTTAAGACATTTGGAAATTAACAGAAAATAAAAATGTTATACTGTATTATTAATTAGTTGATGTAAGATGGTGAGAAATAGAATGTTTTGAAATAGATAAGACGTGTATCCTGAACATTAGATTTTGCGATGAATTGTGATAAAGGGAATTGTGGTTATTTAAAATTTGGAAATTATAAATATTAAATGTTAAATTTAAATATTAATGGGAAACTAAAAATTGGGAAAAAACTAATTAGGACATTGATTGTCTATAAAGACTGAATGTTAAAATAACCAGGATATGTATAAGCTAAAAATTATTGATAAATGTAAGAAAGTTATTTTTATTTAATCGATACAATAAGAATTATATTAGTTTAAATATGAGACAGTAAATACTAAGGGGAAAAGAGAGGAAATATTTAATGTAGTAGTTTGAGACTTGAACTAAAGATACTTGTATGTTATTGAATTATCGATTAACTTAGCTGCCACGTTACTTTTTAAATATTTAAATGTAAAACTAGAAAATCAATAAAATTTTCTTTAAAAAAAAGTTACAACATTATTGACCATTTTTCACACTTACGACTGTTACAGCCTCCCCCTGGTCACCTGGTTAAAATTCAGATGCTTGGTAACTGACTCACAGTTATGACCGTTGCTGTGCCCCGGGATCACGTGATCCCCTTTTGCGACTTCCTGACGAGCAAAGTCCAGGGGGAGCCCAGATTCGCTTAACAACCGGGTTGCTAACTGGTCAACTTAAAAACTGTGGCGAGAAAGGTCGTAAAACGGGGCAAAACCCACTTAACAAATAGCAACAGACATTTTGGGCTCAGCTGTGGTCGTAAGCTGAGAACTACCAGCCTATGGTTCAGCCATGTCAAAACATTTTCTTCTTGTTCTCGCAGAGCGGTGCTGCCCCAGCCCCGTGGAAGCGGTGGGAATACTTCTGCCCTTTCTGTTTCTGGTCCTTCCTCTCGGATTTGCAAGGCAGTCTAATCATCTCAGCTCCTTTCCGAAGGGGGTCATCGGCCGGAGAGCTCTGTTCCACAAGGCTGGAGGGAGGGGGCTGATTTTCAGAGCACGGGAATCACCTTGGGCAGTCTTCTTCCCCCCCCCCCAGGGGAGAAACACTGACTTGCATACAACAGCTTTGAATTCTAACCCTCTTCCCCAGAAGCTGAAAGGGATACAGGTAGTCCTCAGCTTACGGCCACAAGGGAGCACAAAATTTCCTGTTGTTGAGTGGAACAGCTGTTAAGTGAGTTTTGCCCCGTTTTACGACCTTTCTTGCTGTCATTCTTAAGTGAATCTCTGCAGCTCTTGAGTTAGTAACCTGGTTGTTAAGTGAATCTGGCTTCCCCATTGATTTTGCTCATCAGAAGGTCGCAAAAGGGGATCACATGACCCCCTAAGACGTTGCAACCGTCATAAATATGAGTCAGTTGCCAAATGTCCGAATTTCGATCACGTTGAGCATGGGGAGGCTGCAACGGTTCTAAGTGTGATAAACGGTCAGAAGTCACTTTTTTCAATGCCGCTGTAACTTCAAATGGTCACTAACCAAGCAGTTTTACGTCGAGGACTATCTATAATACCAACAATAAAGTTTAGAATGGAGCTAGTTCTGAGAAGCAGCAGAATCCACTCACCTTTTCCAGACAATGTTCTTTCCAGACATCCTTCTCAGTTTCCGAGTGTTTGTCTTCCTCTCTTTCTAAACAATCATTTCCAAAGAAATAATTTTAAATTCAGTCTAAAATAAATCATCTTTCATCATTTTTCAAGTAGAATGTCTCCAATCCTGGATGTGAGATTTGTAAGCAGGAGAGTCTACGGCAGCCCAAAATGAGAAGGATTTTATAAAAAGGCATCAGTTTTTGTGAGTTGCTGCTTAGTCCGAAAAGAGTCTACCAAACTCTTGATTTTCTGCTCTTGGAATTTTCCGGAGTAACAATTATTTTTGCCAGGAAAAACTACAGTAACAAAGATGTTTAATAACAGTGGATGCACAAGTTAGCCCAAAGGAATAACAAGAAGGGCAGCTAAAAGGAAGAACAGGCTTTCTGCTAAAAGTCCTGCAGAAAGTTAAGTTTTCCATTTTTGGTCCCCTTGATCTCATCCTCAAATCCTCTTAAAAAAAAAAAGCAAGAGAAAAATGTTTTAAGTCAACAAAGTGACCTGCAACCATTAGTTTAAACAAGACAATTCCTGACTGGGTTTACACATCATATAAATCATGGCTTATGTAGGGCTGGTTGAATAAGGTGCCCATATTCTGCATTTACATATCAATCTTAAGTCAAAAACAACAAATTGTACTTTGGGTTAGAGCAGGGGTGAGCAACTGTGGCCCCTTTAGGACCCGTGGACTTCAACTCCCAGAATTCCTGAGCCTGCCATGCTGGCTCGGGAATTGTGGGAGTTGAAATCCACAGGTCCTAAAGGGGCCATAGTTGTTCACCCAAATTACAGAAATACAGGAAAGTCAGCTGCAGAAAGATACCAGAGAGATGTGTCTTCCTGCTCCATGTTCTTGCAATAAAAATGTTTGTTTTTTCAAATAATGCCAATTAAAAATGCTGTCCTTTCCATCTGCTGCCTGGGGCAAGATCACCTACCAGGTCAAGCATTGGACTGAATCAATTGATTGGCACTGGGTGTGATTTGCATCACTTGATTGGCATCAGGGCGTGCCTCTTACAAGGATTTCGAGGCATTAGTGGTTTGGCTTTAGATTCTATTACGATAAATATCCAAAATTTTGGTAAAACCGCATACTCACTGTCACTCACTGAGGATGCAATAGACAAGTAGCTGGTTCTCCCTTAAAAAAAAATTGAAATCACCGATTAAGATTCTCCATTGAACATTTGTGGGATCATTTTTCCCACCTTCCAGGATGGGCATTTCACAACATGGATAGACCGATGTGAAAACAGCTTTGCAGATAATCTCAGAAATGATTTCCCCAGGATCCGCATTAATTGATAAGCTCCATAGACATTTCAAACTGCAGCCTCTCTTCCTAACCCTCCCCCCTTGCAATGCAGACCAATTCCTAGGGGGAAATTCCGGGGAGGTTCGGGGGTGACCAAGGAAAAGGAACTCCTCCGAAGGAGAAGGGGCAATGCGGTGCAAAGAGAACAGAAGCCAAGCAGAAGAAGCACCGCAACACCAGGCGAAGGAAGATTGGACAGCCACCTGTCTGAAATGGCATAGAGTCTCTTGCCTGAGCAGGGGGTTGGACTAGAAGACCTCTAAGGTCCCTTCCAGCTCTGTTATTCTGTTACTTTGCTATCCTTCCTTCCTTCCTCCCTCCCTCCCTCCATCACTGGAGGACCTGGACAGCCACTTGTCTGGAATGGCATAGGGTCTCCTGCTTGAGCAGGGGGTTGGACTAGAAGACCTCCGAGGTCCCCTCCAACTCTGTTAAGCCGCTCTGATGCCCAGCGTTGCGGCTATCGCTCCCCTCCCCCAAGCGGGGCATCTCGGCCCCCGCCCCCCCTCCACGCCTCCGCCCCGGCCGACCTCAAGCCGAGCGGCGGAGGCCACGCAGCCTTCCCGGGCCGGCTCTCCCGCCGCCCGGCGGCTCCCTCCCTCCCTCCCTCCCTGCCCGCCGCGGGTACCGGTCGAGCTCCGCCGCGGGCAGGCGGCGCCGTCGCAGAGCGAGCCGCACCGCGCGCCCAGCCGGGACTCGAGCGGCGGCTGGAGGGTGACCGAGTTCCAGAAGGACTTGGCCAGCGCCACGTCCTGATCGCTGGAGCCCGCGAAGGCCAGCGGGGAGGCGGCGGCGGGGCCGGCGGGCGAGGGCNCGGCGGGCGAGGGCGCGGGCGCGGGCGGCGCGGTGGCCATGGCCGAGGGCGCGGGCGTGGGTGGCCGCTCGGTCTCCATGGCTCCGCGCGCCGCTCCGGCTGGCCGGCCCTGCCGTTGGCTCGTGGTGGGGGGGCAGCATTCGGTCGAGGCCCGCGGGCGCCGCTTCTGCCGCGCCTGCTTCCTCCGACGGGCGTCCCCTGGAGGTGGGGGTGGGCTGCTGGACCGGAGGCTCCGAGGCGGGGAGACAGAATAAAAGAATCGCAGTCAGAGGAGATTTTCAAGAAGAGACTGGACTTATAATCATTTGTCCAGAATGGTCTAAGATTTTCTGTCTGAGCAAGGGTTAGACTAGAAGACCTCCGAGGTCCCTTCTAACTCTGCTATTCTGTTATTCGGTTACAGCATTGGAAAGGGACCTCGGGGGTCTTCTAGTCCAACCCCCTGCTCAAGAAGGAGACTCACTACCATTTCAGACAAATGGCTGTCCAGTCTCTTCTTAAAAACCTCCAGGGTTGGAGCACCCACAACTTCTGGAGGCAAGGAGTTCCACCGGCTAATTGTTCTCGCTATCAGGAAATTTCTCCTTAGTTCCAGGTTGCTTCTCTCCTTGGATAGTTTTCATCCGTTGCTTCTTGTCCTGCCTTCAGTTGCTTTGGAAAATAGGTGGACCCCCCTCTACTCTGTGACAGCTCCTCAAATATTGGAAGATGCTATCATGTCTCCCCTAGTCCTTCTCATTAGACTGCCCAATCCCTCAACCTTCGTATGTTTTAGCCTCCAGTCCCCTCATCATCTTCGTTGCTCTTCTCTGCATTCTTTCTAGAGTCTCAATAGCTTTTTTATATTGTGGGCTTTTGTCCATGATCCCTTGCACCCCACGGCCAGGGTTGGCAGCCTTCTCCCACCCGTCAACTAAGCAGCCTAGGTGAGTCTTTCGCAGGCTTGGCAACTAAGCCTGGTGGACTTCAACTCCCAGAATTCCCCAGCCAGCATGGAAGCTGCCAAGGTGGAGAAACACTGCTGGCTGGGGAATTCTGGGAATTGAAGTCCACCCATCTTCAAATTGCTAGAGTTGAGAAACATCACTCTAGTTTATTGCCTCCATAGCAATAGAGAGTGAGTAGCCCAGGCTTTATTATTATTTTTTCCTAAGTACTTTGGAGGGAGTTTAAGGCTTAGCACCTTGCAGGGAATTCACCCCCTCTTCCCCCCCCCATCCCGCAGGAGCCACTGAAGTCTTTATGAAATGCTAGAGTCCTGCAGAAGCCATTTGGAAAATCAAGATCCAGATATCTGCTTAATGAAAGTTGGTGTACTTCTGCTTCTTATAACAGTGTCCATGCCAATGCTGAATGTTCATGTCCTCTTGTATTTCCAGGGTGTGTTTTTGGTCATGTCCTGGACTGAGAAGCACTTGGCGTAAAACTCCAGTAATCCAGCATAATGTGAAAAGGGCTATCTGTTCCTCAAGAGCAAAAGGCTGCTGTGTGCAGGTCTAGGCAGAATTCCAGACCCCCCATTCAAGCAGGAGCAATGACAAGAGAACGTCCCATTGGGGACTTGGGACTGTAAATAGTCCTTAACTGACAACTGTAATCAAGAATTACGGTCGTCAATTCTGCCAGTCATTATATAAGTCATCACACGATCCTGCCCGATTTTACAATTTTTTTTGCGGCGGTTGTTAAGCGAACACAGCAACGAGCCAAAAACCATCGGGGTTTTTTTGTTTTTTGGGGGGGGGGCAGAAACCATCGGGTTTTGAGAAAACATGTCATAAATTGCAATCACGTGACTTTGGGATGCTCCAAGTGGCCGTAAATTGCTGTTCACCCAAGATGCAATCGTGTGACTGTGGGTTGGGGTGTGTGTGTGGCCATCAGAACCTTGAATACAGGTTGCAGGTTTTTTTGGGGGGGGGTTCCCTCCTACCTTCAGATAGTTGCTAAGTGAGCAATCATAAATTGTGGACTCTGTACAACATTGTTTTACCTGTCCTCACAAGTTCTGGGAAACAGTATGACAATAGTTTCTTAGAAAGGAGGTCACCAAAGATTTTTTAATGTTGACATTTATTGGAGAGATATCTCAAAGGAACAATAGATGAGATGTTGAAGAGAAGACTTCTTAAGGTACATACCAAAACCTTTTTAACAACACCCTTTTTCAAAATATTATTTTTTTACTCTTTGTTCTTTCCATACACATAAGTCTTAATTCTTTCTGCTTTGCTGGCTAAAAGGGAAGGGAAGCAGAATTAGTCATTTCTTTCATTAGTCTCCTCCTGTCTTTTGGATTCATATCAAGCTCCTCTAGGAACTGACCGTCAGTCAAATATTATGAGCTGTCAGCACTCTTGTCAAGCCACAACACTGCCGGTAAATGACCCACATTGATCAACCAGAAATTTAATTACCATCCATCTGGACAGGGAACTGCAGTCTAAATGAATAAAAAGTTAATAAATCAGAACAGGGCTTCCTATTAAGTAAAGTGACTGTTAATGAGGACTGAGATACAACTTACTCTCAAGTATTCATTCCTCAAATCTTTCCTCCAGCTTTCCCTAACCTGGGGCCCTCCTGTAGCTATGTTGGTTAGGTAATGTTGAGAAGAGCAGCTTCAACAGCTCTGGAGAACATCAAGACGGGATCAGTAGATCTACATTTTACAATGTTTCTCAACTTTAGAGACTTTAAGATGCGTGGACTGATGTCCACCCATCTTAAAGTCACCATGGTTGAGGAACACCACTTCATAGTAGTGACCACCCTGAGCACAAATGGTATCTCCTACGGAGGGTATCTTCTGTTCTTCAACCTGTAGAAGTCGATTAGTCCATTCAGCAGATTGCAGAACTGAAGGGAGAGGCCGCCTTTTCACTTGGCTGTGTTGTTAGCGACTGTTGGTTTGGTCAATCAGCTAACTACACTGCCTGGTGACCAGGCTGATGTTCAGGCTTGGGTCCAATGGCCTAATTCCTCCTCCTCCTTTGTCTTTAGAGACCATCCAGGTTC